CCCCAAAACCCCAAAACCCCAAAACCCCAAAACCCCAAAACCCCAAAACCCCAGCTGCCAATAATAAATATTTAACAAATGTACGGTTAGAACTTAACTTTGATTTCAGAACCAGTTCTTAAGACTCTATATAGATATCAATTATGAATACTTTAATCAGAGAATCAGAACTTGCTTCAGTAAAGGTGCATTTACCTAAGGGATTTCAAAAGAGATCTGTGTCTAATCTGGAAATTCACACAAAAAGAGATGTAAGTATTAGCAGTTTTCATTTTCAACGACCCCAGTGCTAACATGCTTCTAGAAATTACATACCATGAGGCCAATCCTGAATACTTCAAAGAAGAACAAGAAAGTTAAAGAGATTATTTTGTCCAATTGTAACCCTCTGCTACTAAACAGGAGCAAGAGAACAAAGGGTACTAGGTAATTCCTAACTGATTCCTAATAATTTACTCCTTTTAGTGTAATGGAACACCTCCAAAACAATTTCATCTTGCCAAATATCATGAATAAGAATGAAAATGAGTTACTAAGGTATGTATTAGCCTCTTTGAAGTACTCCTGCAGTGGTATTTTATGACTTCAGGTATTAACTCTTAGTTTAGAGTTCAAAAAATGAAAATAAAGATTCAGTAAGTCCATTGAAGTACCTTCTTTTAATATTTAATAGGAAGAAGGTTCGGTTTGAAGACTTGGATGATGAAAAGTTTGGAAGTACTCAGAAGATCACTCTCAAATATCCGCAATCGACAAAACACTATCGAAAGAGTGCTATTTTGAGCTCTAGCAAAAGCTGTCATTTTATGAATGGTAAAAGAATCATAGGTGAGATTTCCGTTTTAATTTCCATAGACCAGTTCAAGTCAGGAGCAATTAAAACTAGTAAACTTCCTTATAAAATGTTGTCTCAGGAGCGTTGATTCTGGCCATCCACTCCAGGTATGATAACCTCCTAACTCATAGGAATCCACAAGCTTAAAAGCTTGCAGGTCTCAAGAGCCAATTAGAAGTTTTAAAAGAGACGCTTAATTTGTTTGCTAATAAGTTTCAAGTGAAAACCCTTATCAGGATTCTGTTTTAGGAGAGCCATAATATTCCTTAAAAACTATATTCAGTCAAAAATCTCTCTTCAGAATTCCTTAATTTCTTCAGGGCTCCAAACAGGAGTGTCCTACCTTTTAGCAATACAGATTAGGCACCAATTTGTGTTTTACCTGCCATTTATGAATTATTCAATGATTCAACGCAAGGTATAGGAATTGGGGTTTTGGGGTTTTGGGGTTTTGGGGTTTTGGGG